GCCTTAGAAATAGCCCGTTGGAGCAGGATGGTATTGGAGTGGAGGAAGTCCACTGTCTTTTGGGCAGCTGGGACTGCCGAATCCAGTCTCCGGGTGGGTAAACAGGCTGGGTGGAAGCCGTAGTTGGAAAAGAAAGGTGACTGGCCCGTGGTAGAATGTCTGGCATTATTGTACGCAAACTCTGCTAATGGAAGCAAGGACACCCAGTTGTCCTGGGAGAAGGTGTAAAAGCAACGGATGTATTGCTCCAAAGTTTGGTTGGTCCGTTCTGTCTGACCATTGGTTTGAGGATGGTAAGCTGATGAGAAACTCAGATGGATACCCAAAGCCGTACACAGAGCCTTCCAGAACTTAGAGGTAAATTGCACCCCTCTGTCAGAGACCACGTCGGTGGGGACCCCATGAAGACGCACAACCTCCCGGATGAGTGTGCGGGCTAGGATCTCGGCCGTGGGAACCTTCTGTAACGGAATGAAGTGGGCCATCTTGGATAGGCGGTCAATCATCACGAAAATGGCCATACAATTCTCGGAAGGTGGAAGATCCACAATAAAATCCATGGAGATGGCAGTCCAAAGACGGGACGGAATCGGGAGTGGCCGTAGTAGACCCCAGGCCGGGGAAGAACTGTCCCTTGTTGCAGGCACAGTGAGGGCAGGCTGCCACGTATTGTAGGCAGTCCGTTGCCAGGGAAGGCCACCAAAACGTCCGTCGTACCAGATCTGTGGTTTTGCGGGCTCCAAAATGACCAGCCAGTGGTGCGTCGTGGCAGTGCCCCAGGACCGCTGTGCGGGCACTAGAGGGCACAAAGATCCTATCCTCATGGAAATAAATTCCGTCCCGCTGGGACATTCCTGATTCGCCCGAGGGTGGTGAAATCCTGGATGGCTGCTGAATGTGGGACACCAAGTCCTGCTGCAACAACAGGAACTGGGTTGCTGGCAGGATCGTGTCTGGTCTCTCCGGAGTTTCTGGTGCCGTGTAGATACGGGACAACGCATCCGCTTTCCCGTTGCGTGACCCAGGGCGGAACGTGATATGTAGTTGGAAACGAGAGAAGAACAGTGCCCACCGTGCCTGCCGCGGTCTCAGACGTTTTGCTGACCGAAGATATTCTAGGTTCTTGTGGTCTGTATATATCAGAAGGAGGAGATCCGCATCAACCCAGAATTAGGTGAGGGGTTGGTGCGTGGCCACTTACGGTTCTTGTTGGGGCAGGTTCGTGCGTAGTGTCCCGGTCTACCGCAATACAGGCATAAATCCATCTGGCGACTTTGTTCCTTCTCTTCTGGGGTGAGTGGACCTCGCAACAGACCTATCTGCATGGGTTCTGCAGGTTCGAGGAATCCCCCCGATGGTGATGGTCGATGGCCAGGCCCAAAAGCTGGCAGGGTTGCGGGAACTCGAGGCATCATCCAGGTGGGACGGGGCTGGCTAGCCCTCTCCGTCCTTCGCCAACTCGTCTTTCAGGGGGTCTGATAATCCTAGGCGGAAACTGGTGGCGGAGTGCTGCTTGATTCCATTCTGTGTCGGAACCCCACCTCTTAAATTCCGCCTCATAGTCTTCTACAGGTCGACGATCTTGGCGAAGGGAGATAAGAACCGTCTCAGCGGACGAGACCCGGTGCGGGTCATCATATAGCAGGGCCATGGCGTCCATGAATCCCTTGGATGACTCCAGGAGAGGGTCTGATAGTTCCAGGAGACAGTGGGCCCAAGCCTGCGGTTCGTTTAATAGGAGTGAAATAATGAACCCCACCTTGGTTTGTTCCGTGACGAAGGTGCGGGGTTGCAGCAAAAAGTAGAGCTGACAAGCGTTCCGGAATGCACGGAACTTGGAACGTTCACCAGAAAACTTCTCCGGTGCTGGCACACGAGGTTCTGGTGGTGGACCCATTGCGGCTGCAACAGGTGGTAGAGGGGCGGCATCTGGCACGTTATCAAGTGCAGGAGTCGGTGCAGCTGGAGTGGCCCGACTCAGGGACTCCAGCCGGCCCTCTAGTTGGAAATAGCCTTCCTGAAGGCCCTGCACGGATTCGGTCAGAGTGGCGATCTGTTGGCACAGTTCCTCCATGGGAGGCCTCCTTTCGGACCCACGAGTATTGGCTGAGTGATTCTGTAAGGGCTATGGTGTGGGCCCGAGTTGACAAGGAGGACCTCCCTTGCAACCCCGTCTGTGACCACTGGGGTTGATAAACAGTGTGCGCAGGCAGGGGGTGCACGGGTGCCAGGTGCTGACTCCGGGTTGCTCTGATGAGTGGAGACCTGATGGGGCAGTTGGCCGTTAAGTTGCCCAACGGGGAAGTTAGGAGGCAGACTGGATCCAGCACAGGCAGCACGAGCAGTACCGGGGAAAGTCGAAGGGATCGTCAGGAACAAGCCGGGTTGGCAACAGTCGGGCAAAGGCAGTACCGAGGATAATCCAAAAGAGTGGTCAAAAGGCAAGCAGGGTCGATAACAGGCAGGCAGAGGCAGTACAAAGGGGTAAGCAAGAGAATCGTCAGGAGTAAGCCAGATCACAGGTTTTTCCAAAAGACAGGAGCAAGACAATGACATCCACACAGGCTGAAGATCACTCGGCACTGAACGAGTGATCAGATGCGCCTTATATACCCCAGGGATGGCCTATTGCGCATGCGCCGGCGCGATGACGTCACCGGAACGTATCCGCGTAGTGACGTCACGCCGCGTGACCCCGCCGGGTCGTCTAACGTCTGCGCCTGCGCGGCCTGGAAGCGCCGGCGGACGTCCCCTTCGTGTGCGTGCCCACACAGGAGCCTGGATCGGGACCTGACATGGTCTACGAACCGGGACCCGACACAGACACATGAGAATGAAGCCGTAGACTGTAATCAGATCCTCATTTGCTAAAGACAGTATTACGCATAGGGTTGCCACCTTTTCTTCAAGCGAAACCCGAACACTCAAGTGACGCCCAGACATTTTTTTTGGGAGAATGAGTCGCGGCTTATTCATATGTAAATAGCGCCGGCCATTCATATGTGAATATTACAGTAGAGATTATTTTCAGTGGGGGGACAGTAGCCTCTATCTTAATTTTGGTCGCCCCTGTCTGCTTGATATCTTGTGTCCGGGTTTCTACCGCCATGAAACCCGAACACAGCATTCAAAACCCGGACTGTCCGGGTGAATCCTGGACAGGTGGCAACCCTAATTACGCAAGCAGATATGAGAGTCTATCTTGTGGTCAAGTGCTTCCTAAAGGGCAGGAGAAAACTTGCACATAGCAGACTGCGAAAGGCTTTAGAAATATTTTTACTGTTCTGTTTCAGGAGCCGCTTTATGCTTTGGACCGCAATCCTATTTGTGTATCACTCGGCTGTAGATCCTCCAATCATCTTTGAATTGGTGCTGACGCTGCCCTTCCTTCTGGAGGGTGACTACTTATGTTCCCCATGGTCCTTGTGTGTGTTGTAAAGTAGTCACCGCTCCAAGTTAGAGTTTTCAGCTGTACGGATACGCGCAAACAGCCGCTCAGGTGTGAATGGAGCCTTAGGAACCCTAACGCTGGAGTTCTCGGTCTCTAATATTATTATATCGTGGATTTGGTCATGATTGGGTAAAGTAGACTTCTTTCTTTAGATAATTAGCACAACCATTGCAGACTGAACGGTGGAAAATTGGCATTTTGTTTTTGTTTGAAACACTCCATACACTCGCAGACCTACCAAAGCAAAGCTACAAGTAATGCTCAGTCTTTAACCCCTTCGTGACGGGAGACGTACACTGTACGTCCCGCCACAAAGGGACCAAATGACTCGTCACGTACACTGTACGTGACGAGTTATTTGCTGCACTAGAAGGCTGGTAACCGCAGAGAATAAGCGGTTACCATTCATTTATGGATGTCTAACTATCTAGGCATCCATTAATGAAAGGGTGAACCTTTTTCAGACACCCGATCAGGGCCATCTTTAATACTGATTGGACCCTGGGCAAACATTTTCTAGGGCCCCCCACTTCTACCCACCCCGTCCCCCTAACCAACCCCGCCCCCTGCCATGCAATTTCGTCCATGTATATGCCTACATGACAGGGGCGGAGCAACACTATGCAATACCAATCGTACAGTAAACAGAAGAGTTGCCCGGGTGTATCTTTTGCGGGCTCCAGGGCAGGGCCGATGCAAGCAGCATGTAGTGACCCCCATCACATACAAGCAGCCTAGTGACCCCTCTCTCTGGACGTTTAGTGTTCCCTAATACACACATACACATTCCAGCACACACATACACACAGCATGGAGGGGGAGGTCACCGGTTCTGCGATTATCTAGCGCTCTGCTGTCAGTGCTGAGTTGCAGGGCCAGTGGTAGAAGTTTTGCAGCAGCACAGGACCTGCTCTAGGGGCAGCTGCTTTGGGCCCCACAACAATGACTAGGCCCTGGGAAGCTGCCCCTTTTGCCCTGCGTTAAAGACAGCCCTGCACCCGATACCTGAAGATCGTGTGTCTGAGAGTCACAGCAGAGCCGGCAAACATGCCGGCTTTTGCCGGCATTCTGACGGCTCGTATAGATCGAGAGATCTCTCTCAAGCTATACTGGCTTTTTTTTTTTTTTTATATCACTTTCAGGAATAGACACATAATGTATTTATTCTTGCAAGTAGAAGCTCTTAAAACAATACAAATATAAAATCTATGTCCTCCTAGAGCTATGCCCAAATACAACTTAGTAGGACGGTATGATTGCCTCATGCTCCTTTGCTGAGTCATTATTTGTTTTAAATATTGTATGTGAAAGGCATTACATTTACTTTACTCTCCGGAGCAAGAATCTCCTGAATGAAAGAAGTTCAGTAACTTTGCATCCTGTAAGTCATTCTGAGATGTATGATCTGATCTTCTCCAAGGTCAGGGTCCCCCCTTGCTTAAACGCTGCATGAAAATGCAAAAAAAGAACCGTGGAAGGAACAATAATTGGATAAAATACTCAACCCTTCCAACTTCCATAGTGCAGAGGCGACATTTTCATCCTGACAACAAGATCCTGGGAATGTTGAGTAGACCAAATCTCACGAGAAGCTCCGTAAATGATCATCTCATTTGATTTTGGACTAGAGCCTCCAAAGGGAGGATGATGTCACTCATGTCTAGGCACTGTGCGAGGGAGTCCTGGAAAGAATAATACGGTATATATTATATGAGAATCACCGGAGAAGTTTGAATTATTGGGAAAGTAGAAGGTACATTTGAAAATGGATTAGGTGCAAAGGGACTATAAGTGTATATATTGTATAAGACTATACAATGGGTTTGCATAGATGGATTTCAATCTTTGTCACCAGGACAGGAAGTGACTGGAAACGTCACCAATGGATATAGTAGTAAAAACTAACATGGATTTTGACCTTCCCCATTCCACCCAAAACTATAAAAGTTTTGACTAGAGATTGGCCCTAAGTGAGAAGAAATATAAAGGTGACTATGACAAGCTCAGACCTTCCAGTCTGATTGGTGGGTTGCAGTGAATCCATCTTGTATTTTGTTAGGACATTTCTGCTCCATAAAATGATGTAATAATGACACTGAAGACAATGCACATAGGACAATGTAAGCGTCCTCAGCATCTCCTTCCTCTACCACATGTACACCATTTGTTCAGTAAATGGTTTTTGGTTTTTTTCAGGACTCCAGAGCGAATCTCACCCCCCAACCACCAGGTAATGTGCTTTATACATCTGGTTGTTTACAATATGGAGAGGATGTTGTCTGTAGGACATGATGGTGGCCACATTGGCCTTAGAACATGAATGTAATTACAGTGACAAGACATTGGTCATGATGGTGGCAGGAAATGATGGTAGACATAAACATGAGACTGTTCTTATGGTGGCTGTAGGATGTCATGTAGTCTGCTAGCTGGGGAATATAATGGAGGGGCGGCAGGACATGATAAATGTTATGGTGTCTGTAATGGATGATTGTATTCATGGTGGTTGTATGAGTTAATGGTGGTCACATATAGTGTAGAATATGAATTGTGTATGGTGGCTGTATAACATGTATAACATGATTGTGATACTTTTGGGTTGTATGTGCTAACGGTGGTCATAGATGGTATACATGATGGTGGCCATGGCGGCTGAAAGGCCTAATGGTGGTGGTCACAGTGGCTGTAAAAGATCCAGTTCATGATTCATGAAGGAGATGATGGTCATACTAAATAGAGGGTACTGTGACTAGAAAACTACATCGGCTGTAAGAGGCTTTATATGCTTTTTGGTGATTTTGTCTTTGTAACAGATGTTCCGGCACCGAGTAACAAAACACAGCACGTCACACAGGACCCTCCGTCCTCTCTGGTTATCATAGAGAACCTTCAGGGCAGCTACACCACTGACATGTTAAACCTCCTGGTGGAGAATATAAGTGAGAAGAACGAGGACATAGACTTCCATGTGGAGAGAATTCCAGAGAAACAATCTGCTGTCGTCGCCTTCTCATGTGATATCGGTGAGAACCATCACTGACCCAGAACCCTTCCTTATGAAGTAATATCAGATACAGAGATATACATGGGTATTAAACTGTACGTGTCCCTCCTGACTGTGTGCATGTGTCTGCCCCCATACTAAGGCCCTGTTCACACTTAGCGATTTATTTATGCTTGGCAATGGGGCAAAGGGTCCTGCTGTCGCCGGTCGTGTGACGCTACAGCAGGACCCTTTTTGGAGCGGATTTTGCCGCGATTCAAATGCTTTCAATGCAAGCATTTGCGCGATATCGCGCAAAATGCAAATCGTGCTACAAAACGCGCGATTTGCATATTGCGCAGTGTGAAAATCGCGCGTTTGTCGCGCGATTTGCATTTTGCGCGATATCGCGAGATTTGCCACGCGATATCGCGAGATTTGCCACGCGATATCGCGAGATTTGCCACGCGATATCGCGCAAAAGCTTGCATTGAGCAAGCTTGAATTGCGGCTAAATCCCCTCCAAAAAGGGTCCTGCTGTAGCGACGCTCGACCCGCAACAGCAGGACCCTTTGCCCCATCGTGAAGCATTGGAGAGCGATATCACGCGGTAATTTGCCGCGATATCGCGGGAATTACCGCGTGATAAATCGCTCAATGTGAACGGGGCCTAAAGTCTGTGTGGGATCAACTCTAAAACTATGGAGAAAACTGAAGTGAGAAAGACTCTTCTATAGCTTGTGGTGGAGGCGCCTGGTTTTAGAAGGTAGTAAAATATATCACCAGCACACCAAAGTAAAATCTTCAACAAGTGGTCATGCCTGATGAAGGGACCCTGAGTGGACCCGAAACGTTGCTTTATGACGAGATGTGTGTACATGAATAAAATGACCACTCGTTGAAGATTTTACTTTGGTGTGCTGGTGATATACTTTACTACTTGGATTTGGACTGGCACCATCCACTATCACTGCAGCACCCACTTCAAAAAGGGACATACCAGTAAGGAGTGCGGTGGGGACATCTTTGGAACTGGTTTTATAAGGTGTCTGTTATGTTAAGGGGATAAAGCTTGGTAAGTAATACACATTTATTTTGGAATTAATCTCCTGTCGTCCGCCAGTAGAGAAAAAAACATCAGCGGGTTGCCGTCTCCAGGAGGCATTTTTACCTGCTCGCGCGCGGGCAGAAAAGACCCCCTCGTTTTTACAGCCGTTAACGGCTGTTTCACATA